CCCATTATTCTGATCATCAAATCAATTAGCTATTTCACTAAGAGTAAAGCTAGGGAGACCACATATTTATGCTACATTTGTGTGTCATCTCATGTGGCAAATAATGTATACAATAAACATCCAATCAGATAATTTCATTAATTAACGTGACATGTACACATCAGTTATCACGTAAAATTATTAAAGCCGGTTTGTATAAGATCTCAAGGGATGGGTTGTCATCCTCACTTTAGCTAAGTTATAGGCTAAAGTGATGGTCCTAACCCTACTTTTATGACTTCCCGTACCTTGTCATTCACCTTACCTCTTTTTGTCAATCTTTCTTAGTTGCTTGTAGAAACTTCTTTCCTTGTAATTAGGCTTTGGCTTTTCCACTTGTTAGACCAACTCCAATGGTGGGCTAAATGCCAAATTTTTCCCCAAATCCCCCCCCCCAAACACTCTCCAACCTAAGCTAAAACATTGGGCTAAAAGCCAAATGCTAAAGCTGGGCCAAATACCCCCCCCCAAATTCCCCCATGTGCGAGTGGACTCGCTAAACAATTGGGCTAGTCTCGGGCCCGTCTAGGCTCCAACGCGCCCCACGCGTGCGCCTACAAGGGTTTCTCGGCAGGGGTGGGCCCCTCTATTAGGCCGTGTGTCGGCCACCCACTTGGGCTCCCAACGGCTATAATTACATCCGAGGGCTGTGATTTAAGGACCATTGATTGATCCAACGGTCTAGATTCAAATTTCATTTTTTTTATAATATGTTATTTTAAAATAAATTGAATCCAAGAATTTAAGATCAAATAACGGTAAAAAAAAAATCTAACGGCCCCAAATTTAAATCCAACGGCTAAAATAATTAAAAAAAATTATTTAACTCAAAATTCATTCAAAAACTCCATAAATACCGATGTATTTGTTCAAACATCTACACAAAACTCAATTTTCTCTTACAATTCTTCCAAATTTATCTTTCTACCATTTCTTTCCATTTCCAAATTTTTCAACATGGCAAAGAGAGCATATTAGAGGTCCTAATTGGACCAGTGGGGAAGATGTTGCTTTATTCTTGGCATGGATTTCTGTTAGCGAAGATGGTGCAGTTGGCACAAATCAAAATAAGAAGGTTTTGTGGGATAAAATCATTGCAAAGTTTCAAGAAAACTGCAATGGTGGCGGGCGGGATGGTGGTGGTGTTTATGATCGGTGGAACACTATCAATAAAGCATGCACTTTATGGAAGGGAAGCTTGAAGAGAGTCGTAGTTGGCATGGCTAGTGGAAGGAGCACCACAGAAATTGTGAGTTTTGTTCTTGATATTTTATTTGTCATGTACATAATATTATTTTGTAACTAATTATTTTTATGTATTTTTTGCATAGGGTGACAAAGCAATGGAAATTTACAAGACAAGAGTAACACCAAAAAATCAAGTTTTTAAGTTGCAACATGCTTGGGACGTCCTCAAGGATTGTCCGAGGTGGGGAACCGATGCAGACCAACAATGGGAAAGATTATTTCAACGTGAAGCCGCATAGACAAATGCCGGAAATGAAGGTGTCGATGAAATGACCTCATCTCCTTCTTTTGCAAGGCCCCCAGGAAGAGATAAGCAAAAGGAAGCAAAGAGAAAAAGGGAAGTCCCAAGATTCGATGAGTGGACACTTTGTACCGGAATTGCAAAATTGAACGAAACTCATAGCGCTCACCAAGAAGAAACGGCCTGAATGCATTTGCAAATGAAGGAAATCTCGGATAGGGAGCAAGATAGGTTTGAAATTGAATTCATGATGGAGGATCTCAGCAAATACAATCCAGAGAGGAAGAAGTTCTTACGTGGTAAGCAAAAGGAAATTTTGCGAAAGTCTGCCTCAAGGAGTATGTTTCAAGATAATGAATCCTCTGAACACCCTCTATCCCAAGATTTCAACGAAGTCCATCACCAAGTGAAGATGGTGGATATGATTATTAAGTTTATGTAGTGTATGAAATATGTGCTTTATTAATTAAGTTTATTAATTATCGTTTGTATTAAGTTTATGTAGTTTATTAATTATGTGGTTTATGAATTATCGGTTGTATTAAGTTTATGTGGTTTATGTATTATCGGTTGTATTGTTTATATTAATCTAGATGCCTTCAATAAATATTGTACTTATTATTTCACACTTTGATGTAGAATGGATGCATTCAATAATTCAACCTCCATTCAATAATTTATCCAACGTACTAGACAAAATACTTTGCACAAGAAGACACTTAAATTTATTACTAGAAAATAACAACATAGTACACTTAAAATTATTACATAAATGCTTAATCAACATCATCAACGTTCACCTTCTCGGCGTCATACATGCTCAACCAAATCCTTGGTTGAATATAGAGGATGATTGAAGGTTGAAAGGTTGTGTGATCAACAAATATTGATGAAAGTTGATCGGTTGGTGAAAGTTAAAAGTTTGGTATTGAACAGTTGGTTGAAAGTTGAAAGTTTGGTGTTGAACAGTTGGGGAATTGAAAATTTGGTGTTGAACGGTTGGTGAATTGAAAGTTAGCCCAGGGTTGAAAGATTGATGAAAGTTGAAGGCTTGCTTTGTGGAAATTTCAGTGATTTTTCAATATTTATCGGAATTTAAATTTTTTTAGATTAAAATGTTCATTAAAATTAATTTACGATAGTCTACATATTTTTTTTAATTTAATTTAAGACAAAAATAGCCTAAGTTCATTCTTTAATAATCCCAGACTAAAATTTTAGGTCATAACGGTTAGAGCAGAAAAGTTGTTTCTGGACTAAAAGCTAAATTTTCCGAACTAAAATATTTGACTTTTAGCCCAACCATTGGAGATGTTCTTAGAGCAATTTTTGGCAATTGTGTTGGAGTAGTTAGCCTACAATTTCTTGTAGCTTTTTCTTTTCGGCTCTCTATATGAGTTGCCTTCATTTGCTTGTAATCTTCATAATGAAATATACAACAAATATTTGAAACCAAAACTCAACAAAAATGATACAGCAATGTGGTAACATGTTTCTTTCAGCTAGAGCAACTCCACCCTTTGAGCCCTCCCCCCCAGGCAATCCACTATTTAATCCACCCAGTGAACAGTAACTGCCATAATGAACAGTAACTGCATTTTGCATCTTCACCCTTGCACTTAAATAGCCCTAGCAATAAGCAATAAAATATTTATTAATTTTTTTTTTTACAAAATTAATATTAAATAAATTTCTTGTAATTTCGGATAAGATATTTTTAAATTATTCTCGTTACACCACGTGTCATTTACCCAAAAACGACTATTATTGGTCGTAGATTTCGATAAGATATTTTTTCGTATTTTTTACAATGAGAAGGTATTTATAGAAAAGTAGAAACATTTTTTTTAAAAAAAAAATTCAGATTTTTTTTGGATTTTTTTTAAATTTTTTTTATTCAAATAATTAATCTCTGCCGTTGGATTTTAAAAAAAAAATTGAATTTCAACACTCCAGATTGTGCCACGTGTCACAACAGTAAGTTTTCTTAATTTTAAAATTATTTTTTTGTTTTATTTATTTATTTATAAAGCATATTAATATCGATCGTTGATCTCAGATCGAACGGTTGATATTAAATAAGATTTTTTTTTTTTACCGTTGAGATCGAACGGTCCAAGTTAAATAGCCGTTAAGATCAAACGGACCGTGGGAAGCCACGTGGCTTCCCAACGGTAACTTTGAAGTCTGAAAAGGCTTCTGTTTTTTCTTAAAAGTTGTCGGGCGACGCGCCCCACGCTCAAGTGGGCTGCACGCGCCTAACAGAAAAAAAAAAATTAAAAAAAGGCCCGGAGCTCAGGCTCTCGGGCTGTCAACTCTTCACAGGCCCTCCGCTCGGGCTCCTTCACGCTGGAGCAAATTCACAGGGCCTGGGGCCCTTCTTCTCTCGCCTATCCCCCGAGCAATCCACAAGGGTTGAGTTGCTCTTAGGGAAACATGAATGAGTGGTATCATTAGGGTCCAAATAAGGAAGGCTAGTAACCATATCGGAGATCATGGCTATGAATAGGTCATGATTATAGGAATTGTTATCTCGTCTTTTGCTCTGTTGGATCTCATCCTTATCCAAATCTGCTGGGCTAATTTACCTTTCAAGTCTTGCCAGGTTTGAGGATGGCTCTGGTCCTTGCTAAACCTTTGAGGCTACTAGCTATACTGAGTTTAGCAGCTTGAACTTTTATACCAAGCGTGTATGATACTCAGGGCTGGTTTGGTATTGCTGTGCTTTGAAAAAAAACTGCTGTGAGAATAAGCGGCTGTGAAATAAATCAGCAGAGTGTTTGGTAAACTTTTTGTAAAAGTGCTTTTGGAAAAAAAAAAACAGTTTGATATCGGATTTTTCATTAAAAGCACTGTAGCTCTGTGTGCTTTGAAAAAAGCCAGTTTTCCAAAGCTGCAATAGTGCTCAGTTTTTTTTTTCAGCTTATTTCACAGGTTAAAATAAGCCCTTTTTTTTATTTACCAAACATTAAACCCAACAAAACATGGAAATTTTATCATAACCCAAACCCTAGTCCGCATATAATGAAACAACCGAAGTCAGTTGCTTCATTTAAGCAGGTCCAACTTTTGATCCGTTTATCAACTTAATTCATGTAATTCCTACATGAAAAAAAAAAACACGATAATTTATTTTTGAAAAAAGAAAAGAGAACATGAGGATTGTGAATTGTCAACAGTTAGGTAACATATAAAAGTGAAGTGATGTTAATAATAAAAGTTCATGTCGAATATTTCATACAATACCATTTATGTGTATATTGTGAGTTACAAATATTTTCCTTTTGTTTGGCCAATTTATTTGGCAACGAGTGAATATTAGATATCCATGTTTTTGTTGCACTTGGAAGCAAGTTTGAGTGGCAGGGGTTTAGGAGTCACAACATGCGGCATATAGAGTTTTTCCCTTTCATATTTGTGCATGCATAACGATATTTTTACTACCAAACACTTTGTTGAAATGGAAGACAAACACTAAAACACTTTGTACATGTTCAGGTTTAAGACTTTTATACTATCGTCCGAGTGGGAAAGTGTTTTTTTGTGAAGGTAACTGAACCATACTAATGTAGAATGAAAATTGAAAGCCATTAGCTAAAAAGGATTGGATAGGATTCTTAATGGAAAACACATTTAGCTAAATTTCACTTCCATTTTCTCAAGAACAATGCCCTTTGCATTGGAAGATCCATAAATATAAATGAAACCCCAAATGTTGAAATCCAGAACGGAGTTACCTTTACTTCGTCAATGATGGCCAAACAAAAATCCTGAACTTTGATGTTTTGAAAATTCGTTGTCTCCCAACTATGGACTGGAATTCTGGAAGTTGAACACGCGGATTATGGGGTCCCAAATGTGCTCTACCTTTACGACCAAATCCTGCAATGAGAACGTCGTTCCTTCAAGCGACGACATAATCAGTATAGCCCAAAAAAAATTCTAAAATACCAAATGCAACATTAATTTAACAAAAAATTAAGAGCAATCTTGAGCAACAGCCTTCCCTTATCTCAACAATTATTCTGTCTAAACCCGAAATTTGTAGAAAATGCATCGAAATAACATGGTTGTACTCTACCATTACGACCAAATGTGGCAATCAGAACGTCGTCCTGCAAGCGGCCACAATAATCAGTACAACCCCAAAAAACAAACTAAAATACGAAAAGCAGCATTTAACATAAATGCCAAATTCTGGAAGCATGGTTTTTCTCCACTAAACTCACATTTTCCTGCATCTAGTTCAACCGATCATCATTTAGCTTCAATACTACTGCATAGTTAAACATCCACATATGGTAAGAGCCATGTCTAAAAAGGTATCTACCTAAATCTTACTTACATTTTGTCAAGGACAATGGCCTCTCTGTGTTGGAAGATCCAGAAAATTGTTTCTTTGACTCATTTTAAAAAGGGAAAAATTTAAATAGGCATTTCAGGAAAGAGATACACAAACATGAATGGTTATTCGTACCTTATAAAATCTTCATGCATATGAATCTGCATTGCACATACACAAAGATGATCACAAACAGGTAGCAGACCAACATTAAAGGAAGCAACACAAATTAATGCAGCGTTGAGTGATGGAACGTCGAAAAAGAACCTGTGCAACTTCACGATCAAAGTAAGGACCATCATGTCCAAACACTAATAGCCGACTCTTATAATCTTGGAGCTACAATGAATCAAATAAAGGTTATGCATCAGAGCCTGCTATATCACTATCAAAACAACTTTGCACATAAGAACGAATTAAACCCCGTAGGTTGAAAATTAAATTTGCAAGATAAGTATTTTCTTGTTGGGAATTAAACAGTTTCCCTTGATTTTCTCGGGAACCAAACACACCAAAGATCATTATTTGTAGTAGCCATCGATGGAATAAATGAGAACGTGCATCTTCAAATTCAAGAAATTCCCAGAAAGAGAGAAAAAAAGGAATAGAGTAGTACAAACCTGAGAACGTGCCCCGATCTTCTAGATTCCCTCATTATCCAATTACCAATTCAATCAACAATCCCTTCAATTCACTCAACGAACTCAAGTATTCGTAGAAAGATCGTCAGGAGAGGATCAACTTTGTCTCTTGCCCCGAGATCAAATTCCGGCGGGATTGGGCGGAATCAGCAAAACTCCGCCAAAAAATCATCACTGTTCTAGGCTCCAATCTTTGAGCACAGTTGATTTTGAGGTATGGGTGTCATATAAGATGGAAGAGGGTTCTGATACAAATCTATAGACTCTGACCTTGCGCGATTTCGTCACCGTATGAAAAAGTTACGATGAAATGAAGTTTTTGGAGTGAAGAAGAATCAAGGAGGAGGAGAAGAAGAACAGCAGTGCAGCTGCTGATCTGCACGCAGAGAGGAAAGAAAATGAGTTGTTTTTAACTTTTTTTCTAACAAAATTATAATAAAAATAATTATTATTTTAAAAACATTGTTTATACGACGAAAATACTCCGGAATTATTCTGGGCTGTTTTTGAATTTTTTTGTTTTAAGAGCATTTTTGTCCAAAAAATTTGGTGAACCCAGTGACACCAAATTGGACTGCTGGCCTTATATATAGAGAAGATGTTGGTAGTTAGTACTTCACTGTTCCGCCAACTTTTAGCAAAGAATGAGAATTCATTTGGATTCTATATGTATCGGTGTATAAAATGTGCAATTTTACCAAAGAAGCTACCACGATACATTATGAATATACTCAACCAGGTCTAAAGAATGTCTAAAACCAGATATGGCTTTTAGGCGATCCTCGCTCGCTCAGCGAGGAACTGGTTGAGATATATTCCTAAGCTTTACCGATATGGGTTTTAATGTCCAGATTCATGCTCATGGTGTTTCATCTATAAAAACTCTTTCCAAAACAACTGCTACGAAACCAACTAGATTGGATTGGATTTATTTGGCTTCCCACAAGCATATCCGTCATCCAATCCACTCGTCGGGTTTGGTGTTTAGGGATTCAATGCAATCTGCCAACCAAACAGTGATAATATGGATTAAAGTAATCTTGGAAACCTTAGAGAGATCTCCAAATTTTGTATCTTTTCTTTGATGTTTTCATCTCTAAGCTCTCCATATAAGTGCAAGCCATATCGACTATTTCATCTCAAAATTTCTGGGGTTGCGATCAACAGTGAATATTTTGCGGTCTTTGCGGTCGTTACCCTCTGGTCTTCACTGATTTTGGCCGGATCTGTTTGGGTTTTGTTTTTCATTTGACGGCCAACCGTTTTTGCATTGATGGGAAATTTATTTTTTACGACTGAGGTATGTTCCCTAACGACTGTGTTTGATTTTTGTTGTGAGTTTTGCTTGATTTGGATAAAATTGTAACCATTTGTTTTGGGTCAGTTCTTATCCTTGTGCTAGGGTTTTCCTGGCTAAGAGGATATTTTGCATTTTGGTTGCTTCGTTGATGGTTGATTAGTCGTAAATTTGGCAGTGTCTCCAGCGGTCCTATTATTTTTTGGGTAAGTTTTTTGTCTTTTCATTTTTTACTCAGTCTGGGAACCCGTTAATAATTGTTAGATTAGATTGTGTTTGTAATTTTTTAGAAGAAATCAAAGGAATGATTGGAGTTTAAATTTCTTTGTAATTTTAGTCTACTATGCATTGCCAATTCGGAAATCACGCTTCAGCAGCGGTGCTGCACCATTATGGTATTTTGCAAAGTTCCAAACCCAGAGGAAGAAGGCCTCTAACGCTTTGTTTAGATAGAACAGTTTGTTTTGGCCAAAATCAGCACGAAAAAAAAAATACTTCTAGCCAAATGGTGTGTTTCTATCCCAAGGCCCGTGGGAGTCTAAAAGTCTCACCACATTTAAGAAACATGTATTGTCAACGACTTTCTTTTTCTTCTTTCGTTATTGCAGGTCGGTGGTGATGATAAGTTTGAAGCTTAAATTTGCAGCAGATTAGCACTAAAAATATATAAAAAAAGACCAAACTGTACCGCTTTCCTTTCCCTATATTGGAGCCCTTAAGAGCTCAAACTGATTGAAAATCTTTAATATTCTGTCATGATCGAATTAGGATAGTCACAACCATCATACTTGCACCCGGATACTCCAGACATCCTCTGATTGCCCACTTCACCAATTTTAATTGTGTTTGCTATCTTTTGTCCACTACCATTTAATCTCTTATTTTTAAATTTAAGTAAGATTTCTATTTCAGTTTAAATGAATATAAAATGTTAAATTTAAATAGGTTATAGTTTTATTAGCTTTTTTTAAAGCTTATGCAGGTTCTTATTTATTTATCCAATCAAGATAACATCGTACGACTTGCCATCTTTTTCCTATCTTTTCCGTTGCCACCACTCTTGTTGTTCGTGACTCACTGAGTTACATAGTCAATCACCTACTTTATTTTTTAGAGCAGTTCCAGCGTGGTGGAGGCTCCTAGGGCTATCCACCAAGTGAACAATAATTGTCCTTAATGAACAGTAATCGTCTTTTACATCTCTATCCCTACACTGAATAGCCCTGGCAATTGGCAATAAAATATTAGTATTTTTTTATTTATAAAATAATACAAAATAATTTTATTTGTAATTTCAGATAAGATTTATAATCGTTCTTGTTCCGTCATGTGTCATTATTCGAAAAGACAATTATTGGTGATGAATTTCCGATAAGATTTTTAAACATTCTCGTTGCGCCACGTGTCATTATCTGAAAATACAATTATTAGTGATAGATTTCCAATAAGATTATTAACCAATCACGTCACACCACATGTCATAATTTGTTTACAATCATTGAAGATAGATTTCCATCAAATTTTTAACAAATGACAGCATGCCACGTGGCATTATCTACAACCTAATCCTTTCCGAATCCTCCATATAATCCACCATATATCCTCATAAATCTCACACCAATTTTCTCAAGATCTCTATCATTATTCATAGTTTCTGCTTCCTTCTTCACCAAAATCTCCATCATTATTTTCTGCTTCCTTCTTACAATGTCTTCTTCTTCAAGGATGATGTGGGAAATCGATTAGCAAGAGGAAGAATTGTTTAACCAATCAGAAGGAATGTTCAATCTCCAGGTGGCCCAAAATGAGATGGAAGATGATGAGGAGCGTAGAAGGAGAGATGACGAAGCAAGAATGGCCAAAACCTCACATTCCCGTCGAGTCATCCAAGTTGTGGCTCAGATCAGCAGGCCCAGCCGTTCCGCAAACCTTGATAGAAGAAGGCAGCGACGAGGTACGGATCTCTTGGACGATTATTTTGTCCGTAACAGTGCATTCCCTGATACGTACTTTAGACGTCGTTTTAGAATTGAACGACAATTGTTCAACAAAATCATGGGCGTTGTTTGCAATCATGATTCTTACTTTATGCAAAAGAAAGATGCTTTTGGTGCTATGGGTCTCCTGCCTGAGCAAAAAATTACTGTTGCCTTACGGATGCTTGCATATGGAGCATCTGCAAACCAAGTGGACGAGATAGCGAGGATGGGGAAATCAACAATTCTTGAATCCCTGATGAGGTTTTTCGGAGCAATCAAATCTATCTACACCGCAGAGTACCTCTGGAAACCTACTAAGATGGACTTGCAAAGGCTTCTGAAGAAGGGTGAGATGCGAGGTTTTCCTGGGATGATTGGAAGCATTGACTGTATGCACTAGACCTGTAAAAGTTGTCCAAGTGCATGGCAAGGCACTTATGGGGATAAAAAATGATAAAAAAGTATCATTTTGGATACGGTGGCATCTTTTGATACATGGATTTGGCACGCCTTTTTTAAGGTTCCAGAGCTCAAAATTACCTTAATGTCCTTGCCCAATCCCTAGTGTTCAACGATGTCTTGCAAGGAAAGGCACCAAAAGTCACGTACTGGGTCAACAGACGTAAGTATGACGGACCATACTACTTAGCAGATGACATTTACCCAAGGTGGTCAACGTTTGTCAAAACAATGCCACGTCCGCGAAGTGTAAAGGAAAAACACTTTGCAAGCTGTCAAGAGGGGTGCAGGAAGGATGTGGAGCGTTGTTTTGGTATCCTCTAAGCTCGATGGGCGATTGTCAGGGGTGTTGCCAGAATGTTTGATGTAGAGTCGCTTCGATCCGTCATGATGACGTGCATCATTCTTCACAACATGATTGTGAAAGATGAGTACGATTATGATGCCGTTGATGAATATGAGCCAGACACGATGAACAATTCCAAAACACAAATATATTGTGCTCATGACACCATCGAAGAACCTGTGCAATGCAAGCCATTAGAAAGGGATGGACGTTACAATTAAATGCTCATTCAACGATATATTGCACTTCAAAGGCCATATATGCACAATGCCCAGCAAATTAACTTGATAGAGCACTAGTGGGAATTGAAACAAGCTCAAGATACTTAAGTTCATTTAGTGTGTTTGTTTTTATTTGGTGTGTTTATTTAATTTTATTTGGTGTGTTTTTTTTAGTTCATTTAGTGAGTTTTTTATTTTTTGGTATGTTTATGTAATTTTATTTGGTGTGTTTATATCATTTGAATAAAGATTCTCTTAGTATAAATAAATTACCAAATTAAATAAATTCACTCTCACTTTAAATAAAGTACTAAATTCAATAAATTGGAAACAACATAAAGTACTCTATTCAATAAATAATAAATTACAACCCAAAGTACTTTATTCATCATGACTTAACCAATTTGTGGTGCTAGGATGATCTTCTCTTGTCATGCTAGGACCATCTCTTCTTGCTCTCGCTTCTCTTGCAAGCCTCATTCGCACCACGTTCGCTTTCTCCGACTTCTACAAATATTTAGAATTTGGAGACTTCCCTTCTAAAGGCATGTTCATAATGTCACGATCTCGTTGAACCATTCTTTCTTCTCTAGCATGTTGCCTTTCTTGCCTAAGTAGCTCTCTTTCTCTCTCATTAGCTTGAAATGCTTTCTCAACAGCTGCAGCTTTTACCTCCTCTCTAGCCTTATCAGCCTCAAATTTCGACATTTCCCGCGCCAAAGTCAATTCACCTTGGTAAGCAAGTTCTTCCATATACTTTGCATAATCATTCTTGGAAGCACTCCCTTTTTCTCTTTGAAGCCTTTTTACCTTGAGGCCTAATTGGATAACGGGTCGACCGCGACGCTTGTTCAGGGGGGCGTTTCGAGCACTTCTTCTGTGTCATCTTCATGAACATGCCCACCAGTTGAATGATCGAATGTAGAGTGTAGAGGGGTGCTGTTCATGAAAACTTCTGGATCGACAGACACAACTCTGAATTTAGGACAATCTTTGACAATATTCCAAAATTCCCATCGGTTGAATGATTTGTTTTTGCTTTTGGTTTTGGCATTATACCAAGCTTGTGCTTGAAGTTCCTACACAATGTGGGAGAAGAAATAATTATAATGAAAATAGCTAACAAATAAATAAGACAAACAAATAATTATAATGAAAGTAGGTAACAAATAAATAATACAAACAAATAATTATAATGAAAGTAGGTAACAAATAAATAAGACAAACAAATAATTATAA